ATAAAGGACTGAAAGGTAAAACTGCTGAATGGGCTGTTAATAAATACAAATCACATCGTCAATTACCTGATAACATTAAAAGATTAATGGATTAATGGATTAATAAATTGTAGTTTTATCACCTCCAATTAATGACAATAATTTTTTTCATCTTTTCATAAATTAGTAATAAAAGTTTGGTATTTGATATGAAATATTATATGCGCATATATACGCATATATACATATAACATGTGCACATCGAATAAAAAGATTTTTTTGTTATGCAAAAATTCTTATTTTTTATTGGCTAAGTATCACATAATATAAATTCTGCGTCAGAAATTTGAAATATTATCACATGATTGTTAAGTATAGATTTCCTGCATCATATTTATTTTAATTTTAAAATTAGAATTTTTTATTATTAGATAAATTATTATCTAATATCATATATAATTATTTTTTTTTTACTAGCTAATTAGATTTTATTATATTTTTTTTAGCCTTATTAAATAATTTATTTATCTGTTTAAATATATAGGTAACTATAAAATTTAAATAGTTTTAAAAAAATATATATATATTTTTTTTTATATCTATAAATTTATTTTTATAAATTTTTTCCTTTTTAAGTATATTAATATTAATATAATATATAATATATTTATTACTTTAATTTCTTTTTATTTAAAAATTATATATATATTATTAAAAATGCTATTGATAACTTATTATATAAATACTTTACGGTAAAAAGGAAGAAAATTACAATAAAAAATTTTTTTACTTTATAAACCAAATATTATTTTTTTAATAAAATAAATACAAGTTTAATATTAACTCAAAAAATTTTTTAATAGCTTTCTCTCTTTTTATTAAATCTACAAAACTATAACTGCAAAAGTGTTTGATCTCCTACTTTACAAAACCCCAATATTACTCTATGAAGTTGCATTCACAATGGAATTTTGGGTAATGTTCAAAAATATGTTCTACTTTATTTATTACTTCTTCTAATATTGACTGTTATTCTTGAAAATCAGATTGCAATGACATTATTCTTCATGCACAACAGTCTAACTTCTCTGAATTAATATCATTGTATTTTCCAGAACATTGCTCATATATTAGACAGATTCTGTTTGTTAGCTAAAGGTTACATTCTTTAAGTACTTGCTTAATACCCTTTAGTTGCCCTTTTAATTGATGATTATCTGAAAATATCATCGATTGTACATATCTCTCACTATTCTCATTAATATACCAACCATTACGCAACTTAGACTGTACTTCTCTGAAACCTAAATTTATTTTCGTTGCAATAAGTGCATCAGCTGCTATAGTATTATGGTTTATTAATTGATCAAAGCAAAAAACACCAATAATTTCAGGATGTAATATTTTGAATATTGGGATTGCTTGATGTACAAGCTAAATAATGAGAAGATATTTTAATAATTCTTTCTTAAATTCTACATTTTAATCTAGATCTATGAACAAAAAAAAACTCAAACCTGATCTAACATATGTTCTGACTTCTAATACCCATCTTTTTGTATAGATTGAGGAATAAAAGCTTTTTTATTTCTGATATGTGGGTTTGCTTATAATTGTTTATCAGATAGTTGTAACAATCCATAACATGGACAAAGAAAAGCTGAAACTATAATAGAATGATCAATATGTTTTGAACATAAGATATCTTTATCCTCTCTTGTCCAAATTTTCCACTGTTCATCATTTGCATAAAAGTGACATTCATTATGTGTTACTTGTACTAATTCCTTCTTTCCTGACTTAAGTTGAGGTTCTAAAATATTATCTAATTTATCACCATTAAAGTCTTTCATATATTTCTTATATTCAAACATTCTATTTAACCATTCTTTCCTATATGCTACCACATCTGATCTCTTATGTCTATCATAATAAACTCCCTTTTTTTTCATCATACTTGTATCCCACTTATGCATATAATTTTGACAGGTTTTCTTAGAAATAGTATCTTTTACAGTAGCGGTCATAAGTATCCGACCGCCTCTAACTCCGGCTACAAGTAAGTAAATTCAAAATTTTTTTTTT